CCGCCGCCGCCGCTGTTCAATCGTCCGTCACCTATGCGCCATAGCACACGGGTAAACCCTACACATGACATACAAACATATATATTCGCATATACATAAACGTATGTACATACATCAGCGCGCGCACACACACACACGTACCACACACGCACACGCACACAGAGACATACATTTGTTTTCACTTTGTCGCGAATAAACACGCTCAGCGATTTTCCCCCAAATTCTCTAATGAATCGACAAGGAAAGGCGCACCGGCGTGTTTCGAGCTCGAGTTCGTTTCGAAATTTTGTTCGCTATTTTACAAATTTGAAATGATGATGATGATGAAAACCGTTGCATCGTTGATCGATACGGTATGGGTTCGTTTATACGATTTTTGTTGCATTTCTTACAAATGTGCAGTTTTACTTCTATTTTTCAATTTGTCTGTGATTCACGCATATGCGACGCCAAGGACATTTGTTCCTCGAGTTTATTTTGCATTTAGTTGTCGCCTTTGTAATTTGGCTCAAGGATTAATTGATGATGATGATTGTACATATTTCAAATTGTAACAGATTATATGTTATACATATATTATTAACAGTTGATGAATAAAGTATTGATGGGAAAAGTACAACACAACAAAACGCGTTTCCATGTAATAAAAAATTCAGTAGTTTAGAGAGACACGCAACAAACACACGCACGTACTGAGGAGGAAACATCGGATTAAGGAGCCCTATACTGGAGGAAATCACAACAAAAATACCGATCAATTACGCGATGCAACTCACAAAACAGCAGATTCGTTTCTTGAGATTCATTACCTGTACGATCTTCTAACTGGGCTGCGGCTACGATCTAAAGACTAACTCTCAAACAATGGGGAATGATGCAAGCAGTGGAACGCCTCCATAATTTCCGCCTCAAGCACGTTTCTCGTAGGGGGTGATGGGATGATGAGGAAGTCTTCAGCCGTCTGACATTTTTGCTTCTTTATTTTTTATTATTTATTCAGCATACAAGTTTTCTCAATCAACATATTTTCTCAACAATTCACACCCCACCATAGACAGGTCAACCATTCCCTTCTCCTCGCGCTTGGAAGAGTCAAAGAAAGAGGACGAGACAGCATTTTGTTCACCTAATCCACAATGAGCACTCAAGCCCAATTGGCTGAAAGAGATCGTGTGAAAAGTGTGAGGAGGATTGGGGTGGAGACACGGTTCTTGAGCTACCTTTCTTGGGCATCTTGAGGAAATGACTATCAATTTATTTTGTTCTTTGGAGCCTTCACTAGCGGGAGGTTGAGAGGTGGAAGGAGTGGACAGCTTCCTTGAACTCCCAAATCTGAGGGTGAATATCGCTTGAGGATTCCTCAACGGCACGTCGAGGATTCTCTGCCCGATCAGAGACGATCTCTCGCGCGGACATTCACACTCGCCATGCCGTGCCGTCTGTGCTCTCCGCGCGGATGTTCACTCTCGGCACTACTCTCGCATGGTAGAGAGCTATGGTCGAGGATTTCCTCGACCGTTATTCACCCTGCTCCCAATTCTCGTCGGTTCTGGGAAAAGGGGTTCGCTGACCTGCTCATTGGGTGGGACATTGTAGTGAGTAGCAAAGGTGATTACTGTTGACAAAAATCTATTGTATGCTGAATAAAACTAAACAAAAAAGAATATATCAATGGCTCAAGATTTTCGTACCAACCTAGCTACCGTAACTAAACGCAGAATTCTTAATCATGAGCTCTGCACCATTATCTCCTCGGCACGTGCGTGTTCACGTTTCGCCAATTGTTTTTCAGCCTATTTTCATTAGGTGACTACAGCCTCTAACACTCTGTGACAAAAAATACCAGTGCTCATTAGAGACGTTCAACAATTTGTAACTCCTACAGCTCTATAAATTATTTCTAAAGATGAGGGGAGTGCGATCGGTACTAACAAAAGGGACGTAAAAGGGTGCACCACAATGAGAGGGAAACTTCGCTCAGAGGTTTTCTTCCCTGTAGCAGAATGGGATAAGCACGGAGATTCAAATATGAAATAAAGGTGCTTATAAACTAGACAGTGAAGTAAAAATGAAAAAAACCACTGAAACAGCCTTATAAGGTTTGCTGTCCTAAGCAGTACCAGGATCTACGAGATAATTATCTGAGAGGCACTGGGCCACCGAGCCGAGAGTTCTATGGATGGATGAGAGAGAAAAAGACATTAGGGAGAGCAGAGAAAGAATCGCACGGGCGCGAGTTTACTTGAGGGGCTCGTGATTGCACTTTGAGCGTCACGTGATTTTCAAGAGTTCTGAGACGCGAAAGTTTAGCCCTATATCTGCGGTTGCAAAAGCAAATTTTTCGCGGTAAAGATAGGTCCCATGATATACTCGCGAAATTGTACCTGCTAGTGTAACAAAATCGCAAATGAGCTCTATTCTATTGCAATTTGAAATACATTATTTTTATCACGTTATTTATGTCATTCTACTGCTGCAACTAGGCACTTTTTCCTTTTCAGAGTTCATTTGAAATGGGAAGAACGACTAAAGATCACCCAGAAGTTTATTGGCATTAGCATGAGAATTGGAAAGAAAAATCATTTCATGTGCACCTTCTTCTGCACGTTTGCTATGGAATCTCTGGACTGGGACTTGTGCAGAACTGGTTTCTTCACAAGGAAAAGACTCACCTTCCATAGTCCATCCTTCCTCCAAACGACTGACTGGCGAAGGCCGAATATGACTGTCCAAACTGAAATAGGTAGATAAAACCGGTTGCGGTATAACGTTTTGTTGATTATAAGAGATGATGTATAGGCAACTGCAAGAAATTGCTAACCATACTTTTCTCACAAGGTTCGGAAAGAAGCCTTAAAATCATTGACGTCATCAAATATATGTGAGGATGACTAACCGGAGGAGCGCCTGCACTTCCACCAACACTGCCCGCAACAGCTCATTGCCCATTATAGGATAAGTAATAGGTTCGGGACGAGGCTGCGAAGCTGAGCGTACGAGAGCTAAACGTTTGGCATGGGATAGGAGTCAAAAAATGTAACAATGATGAAATGCCGATACGGAGCAGAATCAAAAAAATAGAACAACGATGAATACCACATGAGAATAAGTGTACGCGACAGTCGCCCAGTGGTTCTTCCATGGGATCATGAGCATGTAACAAAAAATCCCTATACGGAAGCATGTGGTATGAATACCTGTCGTTGACTCTCGATGCGGTTTCCACATATTGCGGAAATGTCACGACCGGAAGGAGTGTAATCAAGACCACTGGACATACGAGGGTCTTATAGCCAAAAATTAATCGTACATGTTTCTCAAACTAATAACGAACAACACAATACTGAATGCTTAAAAATAATCTGCAATCAGATTCACCTCCCGTAGTGCTCGTCAACAAACGCTGGAATTCGCTGCGATGGAGCGTCACGCGTCGAATAACTAGGATTCTGAAAAAATAATAGTTGTCAATTTCGTATAACACACGAATTGGAAAGAACATAGATAAAATTTGAGAACCAAAAGCCTACTAGACACATTCCACCGTACAGTTAGAAGAATTTCAGGCGATGTAGGAAGGTCAGAGTCCATTGGTGGCACTCGCCTTACAGAGCGAAGGGAGTGTTCGATTTTCCGACCAGGGTGAAACATTGTGTTCGACAGGCCGCGTTGAGTTTCAGACAATCGGTCCTATCCTCGTAATGATTTCGCATTGCAATTGCGATGAAAAAGTGATCAAAATGCAGAAGGATGTTTTCAAAAAATAAAAACCATTGAAATTTCTGTGATCTTCGATTTCATTTAATATTGCCAAATACCCTGTGATCAACAGATTCAATATTGCTCCAACAAGAAAATAAGGCCATTTTCTCGATATGTCTTATGCATTTCAAGGAAAACGAAAATTTTCTTGGAGCTCTGCGCCCAACACTGCTTCCAATTTAGTAATCCACGACTAAGATAGGTCAACCTTTGATTTAACAAGAGTGTAGAAACAATAAATGGACCCACTCTGGCTGAGTTAGAGGTCTTGACCATGGCGACACATCACTGCCTCCTCTGCGATCAGTGAACGGATACGGTTCGCCGAAGCGCATCTGAACCATGACCAAAATGAAAGCAATTCCATAATGAGCGAGCAAAAAGCCTATCAAATTGAAATTTTCACACCCATGTCTTCTACACGTTGCTTTGCGGGTAGCGTTGATTCTGGAACGGAGCAGGACCGCTTTGCCACTCTCTACGGCCTATTAGTGGGGACACGAAAGGAGATGGCCCCGATCGAGAATAAGATGGCGAAAGCCGTCTAGACATCGGGTTTCGACTAGGACCACCTCTGTGTGGAGGTTTGGAGGAGGATCCTTTTGAAGAAGCCTTCGGTCCATTCTGTGAGCCATCTTTCTGTGGTGCAGGTGCCGTTTTCTTCGGGAAGGCTGAAAAACAATTCATGAGAACACTCCAGAACAGAATTACCCAACATGCCACTGCAGAACTGTTTAAGCTGCTCTGATGAAGTGCTTCCCAATTCTCTGATTTGTATACGGTACATCGGCAAACAGACTATTCAGTATCAAAAAGCAAAAACAGCTATTCTGTACTCTTCTCAACTCAACTTCTATAGGATCTTCATCTATCGAATGAACTGACCTAATTCTATTGGATAGAAGAAGTTTCACATGTGGAAAGAAGGCAGCGCTTCCATCTGCGAAAGTTGCCTCCAGTCACAAGGCCACGTTTCGGGAAAAATTTTAGCCATCCTGGCAAAAGTCTCGGAGAACTCCATGGGACATTCTGCTAATCAGCCTTTCCCAAGACATACAGGTTGAACCGTAAACCATACAGTTCAACCTTTATCCAAAGTACCACTTCAGCGGGTAGCATCAACTCAGATCACCGTAACTTCCCAACGAGAAGGAACAGGAAGGTCCGAAATGGGCAGTACCTGCTCAAGGATGTACCACATCTCGGATGTTTGTCAAGTTTCACACCAGTGAAAACACCGTATGCAGAACAACTTACTTTTTTTAGCTTTCGACTGGGCGGAATTCTTCTCATCCAACCTAGGTTGTTTAGCGGCTGTGCCGCTTTCGGAAGTAGACGATGGAGCGCTGGGCTCCGCAGTACGCTTTCTGAAAATGCGTCAAAATGCAGACCACTGCTGTCGACCAGGAAGCGGTACCGCTTTCACTGAACCGACGAGCTAAGGTCGTGTCCACTTGTGGCAATGCTGAGTTCTTCTTATAAGGATAGCACATGAGTGAACATTTGGAGGACCGCTTTTCGGCGATACTTCGAGGGATGAATTGAAAAAGCATTGCCAGAGGGGGAGACTAAAGAATCTCTCTGCTGCGCCAAAAATTTCGCTTCAGATCGATTAGAAAATCAAAAAATGACGTTGCGATCGTGCTGTCCTGACCTCGTTTCAGCCTGAACGTTTATTAACACTATGAGGCTTTGAAAGTTTACTGCAAAAAAAATTATTTGGAATTTTTGCAATAAGCTTTAGCTTGCCGATTCC